AAGGATACTCTTAAATACGGTCACTTGAAAAAAGGATACTCTTAAGGACGTTCAATGGTAAATGTTCCTATTTTGCATAACGAAACTACATCATACTAGAAGCAAAATAAGCAAATAAAAAATGGGGGTCCCCGACGACTTTGTTTAGCCGTGAAAATGCGTGGACGTTACACTCTTTTTGCGGTAAAAACACGCGAACAAGATAGACATAGAAAGCTATTTTAAAAAGCTTTATTTCTTTCTTTCTTTATTTTTTATATATATATATTTTTACTGAAAAAATATAATAAATTGATCATGGCCATTTTCCCCAGAACTCAAGGAAAAAAAAAGTTAGCTTTAGTAGGCATAATTTTTTGGTCACCCATCCAGATACAAACTTTGCTCAGCCGGACTTGACTTATTGCCATGATATGAAAGCCCTAGTTTTATCCACTGGACCACAGTTTCAGGTGAATCAGCATAACAATAGCTGTAAAAACAATGCACCGAATAGACTAGACTTTTTGACATCAAATGTTCTCAGATTCCGTGCGTTGCAGAGTGCAAGGGACTAGCTGTTTATGGTCTGGGGGCAGGCTGGTCTCTCCCCTGATGCTCCGGCTAGAACATTTTCTTGCGTAATTCGTACACCCAAGGGCAGAAGGATTTAATCGCCGTCAAGTCCGAAGTCCATACGACGCCTCAGCTCTGCGGATGTCTCGGGGGTATGGCACAGTGGAATCGATTTCTTTCTTTTTTTTTTTTTTTTTTTTGCTGGACGTGGGATTTTCTTTTTTCGAATTTCTATCGGTGGGTTCGAACCCCATCGCATCCAGATAATAATTTCTATTTTCTTTTAAATTCATATTAGTATCGTCATATTCCTTTTTACTCATACAGTCCTTTGACTAAACGTTGTCGTTGATCGGATCATCCCTACGCGCCTAGACCGAAAAGGATAACGGGTAAATTATCCAGAACTTGCGTCATCCAAACTACTCGCCAGTTTAAATCTTCGCTGTATGCTCGAGGCATGGTTTTAGCAAATGAAATAGGAACGCAAACAGCGAGCTCAATTCGTGTTAGATAACATRTGCGGCAGCTAGTAACTGTGAATTAWTTATCCCCATGATCCTGTTCGGTCTAGGCGCGTAGGAATGAAGCCGATCAAACGACAACGTTTACTCAAAGGACTGTATTCAGTATTTGCAGTTAAATAAGCAAATATAAAGGATGATAATAACATTTTTTCCGCTCATAAGACGAATCATATTCATATTCATTGTTGCAGAGAAAAAGGCTTTCGATCTTCAAGCCCAGCTTGACGTAAGAAACTTTCCAAAAAAAATTAACTACGAACCGAAAAGGAAAGATTATAAGAATTTAATATCATATTAAAAATTAAGAAAATTTTATTTTACATTACAATATAATATAATAGAAAGTTTCTTTTTGTTTTTAGCGGTAACTGAAGAAGGATTTTTCAAAGGAAATCTTTCGAAGTTTATGTCAATTAAGACGCCAAGAAAACCGGCAAAACTGGCACAGAATYCACAGTTTTCTATTCACTTTTAACTTGATTGAAGAACTTTGAAAAATTCAAGCTTTGGTAGTTTAAAATTTTGCTAATCTCAATGAAGTATGTTTAGGTATCTTGTGTCATTATTTTGTTTTTTAGAGCAAAGCATCCAAAAAAAAAAAAAACAAGATATAACCTTTCAAAAAATGGTGCAGTTTTCAATTCTGTTCGCTAATAAAGATATAACCTTTCAAAAAATGGTGCAGTTTTCAATTCTGTTCGCTAATAAAATCAGTCATGTTATCGTTATTTAGTTTGTACGCTTCTTTTCATCTTATTTACTTATTATTTGTTTTTAGAGACATTCCCAAACTATTATTTCCGCGAAAATCCAGCCTGCAACCTGCTTCATCAGGAATGAAGAAAACGATGAATCCAAATGGATTGTTGTTTGTTGAGTAAGAATAAAACATACAAGTTAACTAAGGGGAATCTTTGGGATACATGAATCATTGATTCTGTGACGCACACTAATGATGGCGTTTCCTTCATTCTACATGAAGTTCCTGGAAGACAAAGTAGAATCATGGACAGCAACGGAAAAGGGTCCTTAAGACTGTAAGAGTACAAGATACAGATTCCTTGAGTTAGTAAAGGATTACGTAATGAAGTAGAACAACAAGTACAATAGACGAGCGTTATTAGGAATCTGGTGTGATCTTTTTCCGTTGTTGATACGGCGCTGAGTCGATGTTACCCCATCTTTTAGCTTGATGCTTTTAGCGTTTTAGAAAATTCACCCAAAATAGATTAGCAGGTTTACAGAAGGAATGATGGCTATAAAAGAACAAGGAGTCCACAACAAGAGCCACATTCCAACAGTCGACAGTGAAAAGACAAGATACAACAAGAGAAAGAAAATAAGAAAGAAAGATTGGAACAACAATGGAGTCTACAAGAACACAGGTATTAATGAATTRTTATCACTCTTAGAACTGAGTGCCTTCGACTAGAATCAACATTTATCTAGTCAGTAATGAAGGGAAGGACGTCGTTTGAGAGGCAGAGATTCAATATTGTTTTCTATGTTTCATCCCACTAGGTCATCATCACAGCTGTTCTTCTTGTCATACTTGCGGCTTTCTCCTTGGCCCAACCTCTGARTAAACCAGATAACAACGACGTTGCTCCTGGTAACCAAACAAGCGCGTCATCATCGCAACAGGGCCAGATAATTACAGTCGATGCTACTGCACCCAATAAAGCGATGTTTAGAAAGACAAGAAATGGCAACTTGTGTGTTGAGAGGAGAATAACTAGAGTATTCTACTTCAGGTATGCTGTGACGGGTATTGCTGTCTGTCAYAAGGGATGTACTGCAAAGACAAAGGCTCTACGACTTGGAAATGGACGATGGGTTGTTGTCAATAGCGACTGTTRCTAGGCAACGAATTTGTCAATGATGAATGAATATATTTATTAGAATATGAYATTTGTAGAATAGAAACATTAAGTTGCAAGTCGACTGACAAATTGAATGGATAAATACCATATTGGTTAGCAAACAAGTAAAAATGTCAAACATTTGTCAATGAATTAATAATGAGTTGATAATTATCTGCAAATAAATATATTTTGACAATAAAACACTTGTTTTACTGGTGCATTTGGGACAGTAAGGGTTGACATCTGACGTCTTCTCCAACAGTGACTATTATGTATGTTACACGAACAAGAGACGATACAGTCCGCAGAAACAACAACGGAACTTAACTTTTCCTTTAAGCTGTTTTGAACGCCTGATTAACATTTTCTTTAAGCTGTTTTGAACGCCTGATTAACATTTCCTTTAAGCTGTTTAAATACCACTTAACACGTTGAGTAAGATTTGATCATATTTAGTAATTCATAACTCATTTATAGTAAGTAGGCCTGCTATCAAAACGAAACTGAATGGCACCCTTGTGCCGATGTAGAATACAACGCCTTTGAAAAGGATTCTACGTAAAACAAAAGACACAGAAAAATTGTCTGATAAATGTACTCTATTCCTTTCTCAATATATTGATATATTTTCATGTTCTTTTTTGTGTTTTACGTGGTTTTAACCCTTGGTATGCATGCATAATTTACTTTTCCTGCATGCCAGAGAATGCTCCATCACGAGATAGCAAGTCTTTCCTTGAATAGATGTCTTCACATACTATAACTACCACAAAAAATCGACCAAGGTTTAGACGTAAACTGTCAAGGAACGACTTGTCATYCATTTAGCCTGTGTACACACCACACAACGTCAAAGAATAAATACTTTCCAGTTGTCAATCTTGCTTGCATATACTTCTTGTTTATACTAGACTTTCCTATTCAGCTCAGTGAGAGGGAAGATGTTTAACCATTCACACTTATTTAGTCGAGTATAATATCAGTGGTACAGTGTACTGAACTTGTTGAGCTACTGAACCCTGTCATCAGCTAGATTAACCTCAAAATATAGTGATGAAGGTGATGAATATTATCTGTAAGTATGTGTTGACAGGCGACAAGTGGAATCGATTCTGAGAAGTAAGATTAATTTATAAGCTCACTTAACCATGAAATAACTGAGCACAGAAAATGTCATGCTTTTCTTTTCTTTTCTCTTTTAAAATTGACTATCTGTCATAGTATCTCTCTGAGTTAACGAATATTTAAGATTTTTAATCAGGGAAAACTAACTACATTGCATGGTCCGAAAAGGAATTGGAAAAGGACTCACTATGACGAAAAAGATATTATTAAAAGTTTTGTAAATATTTTTGAAAATGCTAAAAGATTTAAACGTTGAATGACAATCTTTAAAGCTATTCAAATGGGTGAAATCATCGGCAAAATATAACAAACTTTAGACGGTAATTCGATGAATTTTATACGGTTGAGTCAGAATACAAATGAGTAGAAAGTTCCAGAACTTTTAGTGAAAAAATACTGTTAATTGTGAAAACAACGTATAAATGGTACCAAAAACGTTCTTTCTTTAAAACCACTGATGCCAGCCCAATCAAAATCACGTGCAAAAATGAAAGAAAACTAGGTTTTTAACAGCGAGCTTGGTGTTTTATAGCCAAAGTATTTAAAGTGTTTTTCATGGTTCGAGAGTGATTCATGAACTATAGCTCTGCAGTGAGAGCGGAGTCCAGTCGCTTCAGCGATCAATACCGGAAACAAACATATTATTTATCTTATCAAAAACGCCGAAAATAGAAATAAGTCGGGGAAAGTGTACGTTCAATATAGAACTGCATTCTTAAGACAAATAGAGAACTTGAACGTGACGGATTTTTGAGGCAGTGTCTTAAATAATCTTTAACTCAGAGATACTATGACAGATAGTCAATTTTAAAAGAGAAAAGAAAAGAAAAGCATGACATTTTCTGTGCTCAGTTATTTCATGGTTAAGTGAGCTTATAAATTAATCTTACTTCTCAGAATCGATTCCACTTGTCGCCTGTCAACACATACTTACAGATAATATTCATCACCTTCATCACTATATTTTGAGGTTAATCTAGCTGATGACAGGGTTCAGTAGCTCAACAAGTTCAGTACACTGTACCACTGATATTATACTCGACTAAATAAGTGTGAATGGTTAAACATCTTCCCTCTCACTGAGCTGAATAGGAAAGTCTAGTATAAACAAGAAGTATATGCAAGCAAGATTGACAACTGGAAAGTATTTATTCTTTGACGTTGTGTGGTGTGTACACAGGCTAAATGRATGACAAGTCGTTCCTTGACAGTTTACGTCTAAACCTTGGTCGATTTTTTGTGGTAGTTATAGTATGTGAAGACATCTATTCAAGGAAAGACTTGCTATCTCGTGATGGAGCATTCTCTGGCATGCAGGAAAAGTAAATTATGCATGCATACCATGGGTTAAAACCACGCAAAACACAAAAAAGAACATGAAAATATATCAATATATTGAGAAAGGAATAGAGTACATTTATCAAACAGTTTTTCTGTGTCTTTTGTTTTACGTAGAAGCCGTTTGAAAGGCGTTGTATTCTACATCGGCACAAGGATGCCATTCAGTTTCGTTTTGATAGCAGCCCTACTTACAATAAATGAGTTATGAATTACTAAATATAATCAAATCTTACTCAACGTGTTAAGTGGTATTTAAACAGCTTAAAGGAAATGTTAATCAGGCGTTCAAAACAGCTTAAAGGAAAAGTTAATCAGGNCATTTAGCCTGTGTACACACCACACAACGTCAAAGAATAAATACTTTCCAGTTGTCAATCTTGCTTGCATATACTTCTTGTTTATACTAGACTTTCCTATTCAGCTCAGTGAGAGGGAAGATGTTTAACCATTCACACTTATTTAGTCGAGTATAATATCAGTGGTACAGTGTACTGAACTTGTTGAGCTACTGAACCCTGTCATCAGCTAGATTAACCTCAAAATATAGTGATGAAGGTGATGAATATTATCTGTAAGTATGTGTTGACAGGCGACAAGTGGAATCGATTCTGAGAAGTAAGATTAATTTATAAGCTCACTTAACCATGAAATAACTGAGCAMAGAAAATGTCATGCTTTTCTTTTCTTTTCTCTTTTAAAATTGACTATCTGTCATAGTATCTCTGAGTTAAAGATTATTTAAGACACTGCCTCAAAAATCCGTCACGTTCAAGTTCTCTATTTGTCTTAAGAATGCAGTTCTATATTGAACGTACACTTTCCCCGACTTATTTCTATTTTCGGCGTTTTTGATAAGATAAATAATATGTTTGTTTCCGGTATTGATCGCTGAAGCGACTGGACTCCGCTCTCACTGCAGAGCTATAGTTCATGAATCACTCTCGAACCATGAAAAACACTTTAAATACTTTGGCTATAAAACACCAAGCTCGCTGTTAAAAACCTAGTTTTCTTTCATTTTTGCACGTGATTTTGATTGGGCTGGCATCAGTGGTTTTAAAGAAAGAACGTTTTTGGTACCATTTATACGTTGTTTTCACAATTAACAGTATTTTTTCACTAAAAGTTCTGGAACTTTCTACTCATTTGTATTCTGACTCAACCGTATAAAATTCATCGAATTACCGTCTAAAGTTTGTTATATTTTGCCGATGATTTCACCCATTTGAATAGCTTTAAAGATTGTCATTCAACGTTTAAATCTTTTAGCATTTTCAAAAATATTTACAAAACTTTTAATAATATCTTTTTCGTCATAGTGAGTCCTTTTCCAATTCCTTTTCGGACCATGCAATGTAGTTAGTTTTCCCTGATTAAAAATCTTAAATATTCGTTAACTCAGAGAGATACTATGACAGATAGTCAATTTTAAAAGAGAAAAGAAAAGAAAAGCATGACATTTTCTGTGCTCAGTTATTTCATGGTTAAGTGAGCTTATAAATTAATCTTACTTCTCAGAATCGATTCCACTTGTCGCCTGTCAACACATACTTACAGATAATATTCATCACCTTCATCACTATATTTTGAGGTTAATCTAGCTGATGACAGGGTTCAGTAGCTCAACAAGTTCAGTACACTGTACCACTGATATTATACTCGACTAAATAAGTGTGAATGGTTAAACATCTTCCCTCTCACTGAGCTGAATAGGAAAGTCTAGTATAAACAAGAAGTATATGCAAGCAAGATTGACAACTGGAAAGTATTTATTCTTTGACGTTGTGTGGTGTGTACACAGGCTAAATGGATGACAAGTCGTTCCTTGACAGTTTACGTCTAAACCTTGGTCGATTTTTTGTGGTAGTTATAGTATGTGAAGACATCTATTCAAGGAAAGACTTGCTATCTCGTGATGGAGCATTCTCTGGCATGCAGGAAAAGTAAATTATGCATGCATACCAAGGGTTAAAACCACGTAAAACACAAAAAAGAACATGAAAATATATCAATATATTGAGAAAGGAATAGAGTACATTTATCAGACAATTTTTCTGTGTCTTTTGTTTTACGTAGAATCCTTTTCAAAGGCGTTGTATTCTACATCGGCACAAGGGTGCCATTCAGTTTCGTTTTGATAGCAGGCCTACTTACTATAAATGAGTTATGAATTACTAAATATGATCAAATCTTACTCAACGTGTTAAGTGGTATTTAAACAGCTTAAAGGAAATGTTAATCAGGCGTTCAAAACAGCTTAAAGAAAATGTTAATCAGGCGTTCAAAACAGCTTAAAGGAAAAGTTAAGTTCCGTTGTTGTTTCTGCGGACTGTATCGTCTCTTGTTCGTGTAACATATTATAATAGTCACTGTTGGAGAAGACGTCAGATGTCAACCCTTACTGTCCCAAATGCACCAGTAAAACAAGTGTTTTATTGTCAAAATATATTTATTTGCAGATAATTATCAACTCATTATTAATTCATTGACAAATGTTTGACATTTTTACTTGTTTGCTAACCAATATGGTATTTATCCATTCAATTTGTCAGTCGACTTGCAACTTAATGTTTCTATTCTACAAATATCATATTCTAATAAATATATTCATTCATCATTGACAAATTCGTTGCCTAGYAACAGTCGCTATTGACAACAACCCATCGTCCATTTCCAAGTCGTAGAGCCTTTGTCTTTGCAGTACATCCCTTRTGACAGACAGCAATACCCGTCACAGCATACCTGAAGTAGAATACTCTAGTTATTCTCCTCTCAACACACAAGTTGCCATTTCTTGTCTTTCTAAACATCGCTTTATTGGGTGCAGTAGCATCGACTGTAATTATCTGGCCCTGTTGCGATGATGACGCGCTTGTTTGGTTACCAGGAGCAACGTCGTTGTTATCTGGTTTACTCAGAGGTTGGGCCAAGGAGAAAGCCGCAAGTATGACAAGAAGAACAGCTGTGATGATGACCTAGTGGGATGAAACATAGAAAACAATATTGAATCTCTGCCTCTCAAACGACGTCCTTCCCTTCATTACTGACTAGATAAATGTTGATTCTAGTCGAAGGCACTCAGTTCTAAGAGTGATAACAATTCATTAATACCTGTGTTCTTGTAGACTCCATTGTTGTTCCAATCTTTCTTTCTTATTTTCTTTCTCTTGTTGTATCTTGTCTTTTCACTGTCGACTGTTGGAATGTGGCTCTTGTTGTGGACTCCTTGTTCTTTTATAGCCATCATTCCTTCTGTAAACCTGCTAATCTATTTTGGGTGAATTTTCTAAAACGCTAAAAGCATCAAGCTAAAAGATGGGGTAACATCGACTCAGCGCCGTATCAACAACGGAAAAAGATCACACCAGATTCCTAATAACGCTCGTCTATTGTACTTGTTGTTCTACTTCATTACGTAATCCTTTACTAACTCAAGGAATCTGTATCTTGTACTCTTACAGTCTTAAGGACCCTTTTCCGTTGCTGTCCATGATTCTACTTTGTCTTCCAGGAACTTCATGTAGAATGAAGGAAACGCCATCATTAGTGTGCGTCACAGAATCAATGATTCATGTATCCCAAAGATTCCCCTTAGTTAACTTGTATGTTTTATTCTTACTCAACAAACAACAATCCATTTGGATTCATCGTTTTTTTCATTACTGATGAAGCAGATTGCATCCTTTCCACAGAATAACGGAATAACTCGGAGAAATAACGGAAAACGTTGTCAAGCCTTTTTAGTTTAATAACAAACAGGAACTAGTATGCGTTGAAAAACTAAAGATGAAGAAAGTACTACGCGCGAGACTAGCCGCCAAGACCTGAACGAATGGAGAAAAAAATGGTTTTTATATTTTTAGCAAGCACTCTTGGGCTCTCAGATTTGCCTCCAGAGTTCGAATTGGTCTGTCAGGTTGCCCGCCGGGTTAGTTTTACATAGAAAAAAAATCGTTAGATTCTGAACTATAAATGCATGAATAGATCGAAAATTAAGAAGCTGTATTTATATATATTTTTGGCACAATGAATAGCCTTATTTTTCTCGATTTCTTTTGAATTGTTAAGTCTTGGGTTAATCTTTCGAATCAAGTTTTTCCAATTGCCATCAAACAAGCTTCTTTTCCAAGGACACTACAGTTTAAGATGTTAAAATTGTGATTAATCTTATGATGCGAAGGGATCCGAAAACTGAGCAATCGAAACAAATCCTGTGAACAGCAACGGAAAGTTCATGCATTTTCAGGTCCACGAGTTCACAGATTTCATTCATGCGCTTTTCAAAGATTTCATTTTAATTTTCGATGTCAAACTTCACATCAGCTTTGATTAACGTATAAAGGACAGTTATTAATTACAAGATAGATATTAAGGATACGAGTATATTATTAATTAATAGTAATAAAGGCAATAGGTTGTGACGTATTTCCGGTACAATCCTATGCCAATGATCTCTCAGTACGGTAATGCCTTCTGATTGGTTCAGAGCGGAAGGAAGCCAATTGTCTGCCTCACTTCCTCATCGGGACTTCTGCTCGTGACGTCAAAGCTGTGCATTTAACCAAATATTTCTTGTTCATCGTTCTTTCGTCACTACATATGCATGCACAGGAAGTCTAAGCATTGGGACTTCCATTGCGCATGCGCGCTATCGACCTATCTATTTCAAATAGCATTTTTCAAGGTTACTAAAAATAGATATCGCAAAACCTTGTGGGATCGAAATGCGGACAAACATTGCAAATAAAGGCTTCGATTACATGGAAAAGTAGAATAACCGTGGAAAACCACAGTTCTTCATTGAAAAGAACTACGGACAAGACTACGAAACTTTGTTGCAGCATGTAAGCATGTGCGCATAGGCTTGGCTTGTCCGCTTTTGAATCCCATGATGCACAATCGTGACGTCGTCCGTGGAAAACGCTGTTTGTATGCAATGCGGTATGAATGACATGTCTGGGTATGATATGAATAAATAAGAATCAAACGCGCTAACTATTTACATGGGTTTTTCTGTGCTCTAACTTGTCGTATACCAGTGGCTAGAGTTACCGAGTTTCATGTTGTCTTTAACAGAGAATTTGTCTTTGATTTTGATACATTGTATCAACCAACATAACCTCGTGTCTTTTAGTATTCAATTCTCCTGGCAATGATTGTAAACCACTACTAAAATAAGAATATTGAGTGGTCTTTCTGATCTATAAGCTATCAGTATTGCACACTTCAGACCACCGAAAGCTATTTATATTTCATGGTTACAACCAATCACCGTTGCAGCAGCTTTCCCAGTGGACTTAAAATCTTGTCCCACCAACAACTGCTACACTGTATCTGTTTTAAAGAGTACTACAAGGATTACGAGGCAATTTTCTATCCTGTTAGCAGGACACTAAATTATTTATAATCAATTTTCCGCGATCAGCGTTTTGAATTATGAGATATTCTAGATAATTTGTTAAGCTTGTGAGACAGAGCAACGGTAACTAAGGAAAGTCGGAACCATGAATAGGCCACTTTCGATATCTCAAAATTCATACTTGATTGCGAGGCTTAAGTCGTGTAGTACAAGTATGGTACAAACACGTGGAACACGAAATACATCCACGGCCGGTAGGAATATCATAATGTACCGTATTACTGTACAGTGTGTGCAACCATGTGACTCAAAATCCCTTGAGATATAAATAACAATGAAACAGCCGCCATCTTGGTTGATCTAACAAGAGAAGTTAATGAGGAATGTTCTGTTATCGTCAACCAAGATGGCGGCTATGACGTAACATGCACATGCTCTATACGACTTTTTTTTACCTTTTTTGGCAATAATAGACCCCTCGCATGTGACGCCAAAGCAGCTCTTTCTGGGGAACAAAACAAAAGAATTCCAATCTCCTGAGAATTGGAACCTATTGTTTTGTCCCCCAGATTGAGCTGCAGTCCAAACTGCTGCAAGGGGTCTATAAGAGAAAAATTGGTAGAAATTTTAGTCAGTTTCGTCAACTCAACAACGTTATAATCAAATCTACAGTAATACTAATTTTTTCGAAATTCGGTCGCCATATTTCGATTCGGTGTATATATAACATGGTCTAAAGACGTATATATGAAGCTATTAATTGATACTATGGGGACACACACACGTTATTCACTCTTGATGACGAAGTCTTTTGTTTGTTCAAACATCTCTTCCAATGTCTGAGCGGCTGAGACCTGACGATACAAAAAGAACAAGAAGTGTTGTAAGCAACAAGCATTTACTCTCGACGCAGAACCCTTGCACTTACTACGCATGCATTGGTACCATGGAACCCCTCTCTTGGAAGATCTAGTGAAGCCAATCATGTTCTTTACGCTCAGTGGAATAAATTGGAACCCCCCCTTTTGTAATGCCAATCTTACCAGCTTTTTCTGCGGGGCGGCCATTTTGGAACCCCCACCCCCATTCGTTGCACTAATATGCTTCTAGGTAAAATATTTTTCTGAGGATATATGTTAAGGACTACTTCAACATGAATTTAGAAGGAAAAAGCTTAATGCAAACGTGAGTTATCCAAGGTTATCTGAAGACGTTCAAAGAACCTCTGTTCATATACAGTAGGCTGCAGTTTGTTGTCGTTTCTAATCACCAATAAACATCGTGGTAAGGCAAGGTAAAAAATGAACGCTTTGCATTTGCCTAATTTTGATATCATATTTATTTATTTGGCTAAGATATAAATGAAATCGACGCTTTGTAACAACAGCTATAGAGTGTCAAAATCTGAATTCGATGTTATTCGTATTCAGATATTTCCAAAACACTTATCGACAGCCACCTGTTGATTCACATTAAAATAATGTGCTATGTTTGCCGTCTAGGTGTACAGGAGTCGATTTGTTTTAAAAATTGGGGAACCTGGATTTTTATTCTCATCTAGATACTATGCAATGATTCATGCACTATACACGAACTTGAATGTTGTATTGTTACATATTTGTCACTGTAGCAAAGGTTTCTATTTCTTTATATTCTTTGAATTTAGTCATCATAAACTTACCGAAAATCGAAAATTTTGCAATCGGAATGACTTCAGTGATTACTAACTCATTAGAGCGAATTCGTATATCGCACTTTTACATGCTAATGAATTTTGCTAATATTCAAAT